GGTATTTGAACGAGCTCTTATTGCATTATAGTCCTCCACGTCTGCTGCGTTCTCAAAACTCTGGCAATTTGATAATACCTAGAATATCAAGATCAACTGCGGGCGCCAGATCCTTTTCCTATTTAACAGCCAATCTCTGGAATAACCTACATGACATTGTTCGGGAGGTAGACATACTTTGTCAGTTTAAACCTAGATTAAAGACTCATCTCTTTAACCTGGCTTACACAACACACTTCTAATATTCAAATCCGTTAAAGGATTTTTAGGCTGCATTAATTGGGTCAACCGGAACCGGGAACACTTTCCATAACACCCGAAGTACTTGCTACGTTGCTAGAAGAATGGCATCGACGCTAATATTAGTCTGTTTCTCTTATTCCAAGGTCACCATAGCCACCAGATCCAATACGTATCCAGACCAGATGGTGGATCAGCACCTAGAGAGAACCTCTACAGCCCTGAAAGTCAGCAGAGACCAGGACAACTAGATGAGCCCCAGATACAGATCCCCAGTAAAGACCTAGTTTCAGATGGCCACCGGGACAAGACCACAGGAGCCAGTTAAGTCCTCTGCACAATGTGACTTTGCTGCAGCCTGGAATTGAACTGCTGGTTTCGTCTGGCCAGAGGAGAACTGGCCCCCCCGACTGAGCCTGGTTTCTCCCAAGGTTTTTTCTCCATTCTGTCATGGTGTTTTGGTTCCTTGCCACTGTCGCCTCTGGCTTCCTTAGTTGGGGACACTTCATTTTCAGCGATATCGTTAACCTGATTACTCAGATACTATTTAAACTAAACTGAGCTGGATGACACTGAATTCAATGAACTGCCTTTAACTGAAAAAGTGTTTACTATTGTCACTTTGCATTGACACCATTTTCCTAATTAATGCTGTACAGTTGCCTTGACAAGCTGTATTGTTAAAAGCGCTATATAAATAAAGGCGACTTGACAATCAAGTAAACTCAGTCTCAGTACTCATGCATAGCGGTATGTTCTCAGCCCAGTCAAAAAAAAAAAATCCTGTCATGCAGACAGACGTTAATCAAAACCCTCAATTTGGTACCTTGTTGTGCCCCAGGGTAGCAACTGGAGGTTGGATAAATGTAAAGTTAGTGGCTTGTGCAGAAACCTGGACTCAGAATGCATGACCTTACCAAAAAGGTACTGGAAAGTTAGTTTAATAGTGTACACCAAGAAACAAACTGGGTACAGGCACGTAACTTCAGACTCTGCAAGGTCAATACAACAGACAAAGCAATCTTGCTGCTTCAAAAAGCTTAATAAAACAGCTAGATTTACATGATCAGTGTAACTGCTCCACTAGAAACCACAGTCTGCGCACTAGAGATGGTCTTAACATTAGTGTCCCTTCCTGTAAGCCAAGAAAAAAAAAAATTAGAAGTGAAGGCCAATTATAAAATTCTCAGTTCATCTAGTCAAGAACTCACTCTTCCTGCCGCAGCTTTGCTCACAGGAGCCAGAAGATGGATGGCACACTGCTGTACTACAGTGGATGAAGATCTGACAGGGAGGAAAGAGGGTCAAGTCATAGAATCTATAAGGAGTAAAATTAAAGGTTCAAGTAAGGGGGAGCATACAGTTTCCTGCAGAGGAGCCAGTGATGCTGGATCCACAAACGTGAACATCTTCACAATAAAGCGCTTGTAGTGGGTTGGGAACTGAAGACCAGACGATCCAGTCACTGGAGCCAGTGCAGTCAGGTAACGGTCATCCTGGTAAGGGCATCTGAAAGGTAAAAGGAGGTTAGAAAATCCCCAGACTAGCAGGATAAACATTGCCATTACACTCACCCATCAACCAGAAGGTCCCATTGAAAAAAAAAAAAAAGTTACTGTAACTTGCCAAAGGTAGATGTTCAACATTGGTGCCGTTGTCCTTACCACTCCCTGCAGAGAAGTGTGCTTACAGATATGACGATATACTATTTTAAGGCTGCTTTTATTTGATGAAAAATACAGGGAAAATAGCATTATTTTGAAAAAATATTACAATTTATAATATCTGTTTTCTATGTGAATATGCTGATTTGCTGCTCAATTATCAATTATTATTGTTAATATGTGTTTTTTTCCCCTAATATTTATAGCAAATAAATATCGGAGTCGATTAGCAAGTCCAAGTCAACATGAAATGCTGTTTGCAACCCAATTTTCATTTTACAGATTAGTCAAGAGTAATGTAGAGCGAGACATGATTTTATGCATGAGGAAGCATCTCTATATGACGTACCTTTGATATCCTCCACAAGTTGCTCTGGAATAGAGCCTGTGATAAAGACCAATAGATAATCAAACGCTAAGCAGTATTAACCCTATAAACCTTCTGTATCATATTGATATATACATTTCTAAGGCTCTAAATGATCAAACTTCACTGAATCTCCTGCATGTCTTCTGTCATCTGATTGATAGTTTAGAGTTTTTTATCCAGTCAAAGCTCTTTTGGGTTAATTATACAAACGTTCAGCTTCAGCTCGAGCTTCAAGTGTCTTTCTGCTGTCAAATCTTGACTGATTTTTTATCAAATAACCGTCAGAATAACTGTAGTAATATTTCCAGAGGAACACTTACTGCACTTTTTGTAAATGATATGATCACTGATCGTAACCTAGATGTGCTCTGTTTGACAGAAACCTGGCTAAAACATGATGATTACATTATTTTAAATGCGTCTACCCCCCAAGATTACTGTTATAAACATGAGCCGCGTCCAAAAGGTAAAGGGGGAGGTGTTGCTACAATTTAAAACAATATTTTCAGTATTTCTCAGAGGGCGGGCTTCAAGTATAACTCGTTTGAAGTAATGGTGCTTCATATAACATTATCCAGAGAAAAAGTGTTAATGATAAATCCCCTGCGATGTTTGTACTGGCTACTGTATACAGGCCACCAGGGCACCATACAGACTTTATTAAAGAATTTGCTGATTTTCTATCCGAGTTAGTGCTGGCTGCAGATAAAGTTTTAATATCCATGTTGATAATGAAAAAGATGCATTGGGATCAGCATTCATAGACATTCTGAACTCTATTGGGGTTAGACAACACGTGTCAGGACCTACTCATTGTCGAAATCATACTCTAGATTTAATATTGTCACATGGAATTGATGTTGATGGTGTTGAAATTATGCAGCCAAGCGATGATATCTCAGATCATTATTTAGTCTGACAAGCAATGATATCTCAGTTCATTATCTAGTCTTGTGCAAACTTCATATACCTGTAGCTAAAACTGTAAATTCTACTCCGTGTTAAAAGTATGGTAGACCATCACTTCTACCACAAAAGACTGCTTTGTAAGTAATCTTCCTGATCTATTCCTCAGCAATGTTACCCTTGGGTGATATCATCGGGAAACACGGTGTTAGCTTTCACTGTTATGCTGATGATACTCGGCTCTATATTTCTTCGCGGCCCGGCGAAACATACCAATTAGAAAAACGGACAGAATGCATAGTCGATATAAAAGAAACTGGATGACGCGTAATTTCTTACTAAATTCTGAAAAAACAGAGGTGTTAATTATCGGACCTAAAACCTCTGCATGTAGTAACCTAGAACACTGTCTAACACTGGATGACTACTCATGCTTTGTTGGGTGGTTGTTCTGCACACTTAATAAACTCCAGCTGGTCCAAAATGCAGCAGCTAGAGTTCTTACTAGAACTAGTAAGTATGACCATATTAGCCCGGTTCTGTCAACACTGCACTGGCTCCCTATTAAACATCGTATAGATTTTAAAATCTCGCTTGTTACTTATAAAGCCCTGAATGATTTAGCACATCAGTATTTGAACGAGCTCTTCTTACATTATAGCCCTCCACATCTGCTGCATTCTCAACTTTAGCAATTTGATAATACCTAGAACATCAAAATCAACTGCGGCCGGAAGATCCTTTTCCTATTTAACACCCAATCTCTGGAATAACCTACATGACATTGTTCGGGAGATAGACATACTTTGTCAGTTTAAATCTAGATTAAAGACTAATCTCTTTAACTTGGTTTACACAACACACTTCTAATATTCAAATCCGTTAAAGGATTTTTAGGCTGCATTAATTAGGTCAACCAGAACCGGGAACACTTTCCATAACACCCAAAGTACTTGCTACGTTGCTAGAAGAATGGCATCTACGCTAATATTAGTCTGTTTCTCTTATTCCGAGGTCACCGTAGACACCAGATCCAATACGTATCCAGACCAGATGGTGGATCAGCACCTACAGGACCTCTACAGCCCTGAAAGTCAACAGAGACTAGGACAACTAGATGAGCCCCAGATACAGATTCCCAGTAAAGACCTAGTCTCAGATGGCCACCGGGACAAGACCACAGGAGCCAGTTGAGTCCTCTGCACAATGTGACTTTGCTGCAGCCTGGAATTGAACTGCTGGTTTTGTCTGGCCAGAGGAGAACTGGCCCTGCCAACTGAGCCTGGTTTCTCCCAAGGTTATTTTCTCCATTCTGTCATGATGGCATTTTGGTTCCTTGCCACTGTTGCCTCTGGCTTGCTTAGTTGGGGACACTTCATTTTCAGCGATATCGTTGACTTGATTGCTCCAATACTACTTAAACTAAACTGAGCTGGATGACACTGAATTCAGTGAACTGCCTTTAACTGAAAAATTAGTGTTTACTATTGTCACTTGGCTTTGACACTATTTTCCTAATTAATGCTGTACAGTTGCTTTGACAACCTGCATTGTTAAAAGCGCTATATAAATAAAGGCAACTTGACACTCAAGTAAACTCAGTCTCACAGTACTCATGCATAGCGGTATGTTCTCAGCCCAGTCAAAAAAAAAAAATAAAAAAAATAAAAATAATAATCCTGTCATGCAGGCAGATGTTAATCAAAACCCTCAATTTGGTACCTTGTGTTGTGCCCCAGGGTAGCAACTGGAGGTTGGACAAATGTAAAGTTATTAGTGGCTTGTGCAGAAACCTGGACTCAGAATGCATGACCTTACAAAAAGGTACTGGAAAGTTAGTTTAATAGTGTAGACCAAGAAACAAACTGGGTACATGCACGTAACTTCAGACTCTGCAAGGTCAATACAACAGACAAAGCCATCTTGCTGCTTCAAAAAGCTTATTAAAACAGCTAGATTTACATGATCAGTGTAACTTCTCCACTAGAAACCACAGTCTGCGCACTAGAGATGGTCTTAACATTAGTGTCCCTTCCTGTAAGAGAAGAAAAAAATTAGAAGTGAAGGCCAATTATAAAATTCTCAGTTCATCTAGTCAAGAACTCACTCTTCCTGCCGCAGTTTTGCTCACAGGAGCCAGAAGACGGATGGCACACTGCTGTACTACAGTGGATGAAGATCTGACAGGGAGGAAAGAGGGTCAAATCAGAATCTATAAGGACTAAAATTAAAGGTTCAAGTAAGGGGGAGCATACGGTTTCCTGCAGAGGAGCCAGTGATGCTGGATCCACAAACGTGAACATCTTCACAATAAAGCGCTTGTAGTGGGTTGGGAACTGAAGACCAGATGATCCAGTCACTGGAACCAATGTGGTCAGGTAACGGTCATCCTGGTAAGGGCATCTGAAAGGGAAAAGGAGGTTAGAAAATCCCCAGACTAGCAGGATAAACATTGCCATTACACTCACCCATCAACCAGAAGGTCCCACTGGGGTAGACTGAGTGGACTGGGGGTTGAAGTTGCCCAGCAGCGTCCCAGCATCAGGACAATGTTGGGGTCCGTCCTCTCCATAATGTGCACCTCTACATATACAAAGCACAAAACTTCAGACTCTGCAAGGTCAAGACAACAGACCAAAGCCATCTTGCTGCTTCAAAAAGCTTTTTAAAAAAAGCTAGATTTACATGATCAGTGTAACTTCTCCACTAGAAACCACAGTCTGCGCACTAGAGATGGTCTTAACATTAGTGTCCCTTCCTGTAAGAGAAGAAAAAAATTAGAAGTGAAGGCCAATTATAAAATTCTCAGTTCATCTAGTCAAGAACTCACTCTTCCTGCCGCAGTTTTGCTCACAGGAGCCAGAAGACGGATGGCACACTGCTGTACTACAGTGGATGAAGATCTGACAGGGAGGAAAGAGGGTCAAATCAGAATCTATAAGGACTAAAATTAAAGGTTCAAGTAAGGGGGAGCATACGGTTTCCTGCAGAGGAGCCAGTGATGCTGTATCCACAAACATGAACATCTTCACAATAAAGCGCTTGTAGTGGGTTGGGAACTGAAGATCGGATGATCCAGTCACTGGAACCAATGTGGTCAGGTAACGGTCATCCTGGTAAGGGCATCTGAAAGGGAAAAGGAGGTTAGAAAATCCCCAGACTAGCAGGATAAACATTGCCATTACACTCACCCATCAACCAGAAGGTCCCACTGGGGTAGACTGAGTGGACTGGGGGTTGAAGTTGCCCAGCAGCGTCCCAGCATCAGGACAATGTTGGGGTCCGTCCTCTCCATAATGTGCACCTCTACATACACAGGCTCACGCAGGACTTTTGTGATGGGATAATCAGCATCACTGTAGTAGGACGTGTAGGCCTCATCCCCTGATGAAAAACACTGGTGATTAACCAGAAATGGCTGCAACCTGGAGTCTTAAGATACTAGGAACATACCTTCTGCACACCCTTTGGTAACACACTGGCCATTGGCCAGTCTAAGCTCCACCCTGAGGGGTCCAGGGGCAGCTACTGGTGGAGGTGGAGGAACGGTGTTGACCTCCACAACCAGAGCTTCTACAGAAGTGCCAGAGTACCTACACTGGAAGAGAAGCCTGGACAACAGACGGGGAGCTTGTAGCATTTGTCAGAGATTAACGATTAAGAACAGCATAGATCACCTACTCAAAATGGCTGTCCCTTGTGATGGAACCAAACGGTCCCATCCCCACTTCATACGAGGAGGTCATTCTGTTCTCATACACCACATAACCACTGTCCTCCTGCAAATAGCAACACTGTTGGCATCCAGTCCATCATAGGCCATGAAGCATAAAACCATAAGCAGCTACTCGCCATCATTCTTGTACCACATGCGGTCACAGGGAACTGGTATACAGCAAAGGAAGGTGTGGACCCCACAGGACTGCAAGGTGGGTCGTTTCCACCCAGTAGATGGACTGAATCCAGACTCAGTCGAGGCAGTGTAACATCTCTAGCCACCACTACCACAAACTGGCCATCTCTTATACACTGGACAGTAACTGGAACACAGGCAGAAGAGCAGGTTAATGTCGAGGATCAGTTTAACAGGGAGCATAACAGCAACTCAACACTCTTACCTGCCTTCCCATAGTAACACTGCTGTCCGTTAAAGCAGCAGTTGATAGCTTCACATTCAGCACCACTGATACCAGGTTGTCCACATTGGATCTGCTCATAATCAGCTACAGCACATTTGTCCAAAGGCTCTGCCTTCGTCACTTGCTTCTGAAACTTCTGAGGAAACTGCTGATTAGTCTGTTGAGCTGGCTGCTGAAACGTCTGAGGAAACTGCTGATTAGTCTGTTGAGCTGGCTGCTGAAACTTCTGAGGAAACTGCTGATTAGTCTGTTGAGCTGGCTGCTGAAACGTCTGAGGAAACTGCTGATTAGTCTGTTGAGCTGGCTGCTGAAACTTCTGAGGAAACTGCTGATTAGTCTGTTGCAACGGCTGCTGAAACTTCTGAGGAAACTGCTGATTAGTCTGTTGCAACGGCTGCTGAAACTTCTGAGGAAACTGCTGATTAGTCTGTTGCAACGGCTGCTGAAACTTCTGAGGAAACTGCTGATTAGTCTGTTGCAACGGCTGCTGAAACTTCTGAGGAAACTGCTGATTAGTCTGTTGCAACAGCACTGAGTGGACTGGGGGTTGAAGTTGCCCAACAGCGTCCCAGCATCAGGACAACGTTGGGGTCTGTCCTCTCCATAATGCGCACCTCTACATACACAGGCTCACGCAGGACTTTTGTGATGGGATAATCAGCATCACTGTAGTAGGACGTGTAGGCCTCATCCCCTGATGAAAAACACTGGTGATTAACCAGAAATGGCTGCAACCTGGAGTCTTAAGATACTAGGAACATACCTTCTGCACACCCTTTGGTAACACACTGGCCATTGGCCAGTCTAAGCTCCACCCTGAGGGGTCCAGGGGCAGCTACTGGTGGAGGTGGAGGAACAGTGTTGACCTCCACAACCAGAGCTTCCACAGAAGTGCCAGAGTACCTACACTGGAAGAGAAGCCTGGACAACAGACGGGGAGCTTGTAGCATTTGTCAGAGATTAACGATTAAGAACAGCATAGATCACCTACTCAAAATGGCTGTCCCTTGTGATGGAACCAAACGGTCCCATCCCCACTTCATACGAGGAGGTCATTCTGTTCTCATACACCACATAACCACTGTCCTCCTGCAAATAGCAACACTGTTGGCATCCAGTCCATCATAGGCCATGAAGCATAAAACCATAAGCAGCTACTCACCATCATTCTTGTACCACATGCAGTCACCGGGAACTGGTATACAGCAAAGGAAGGTGTGGACCCCACAGGACTGCAAGGTGGGTCGTTTCCACCCAGTAGATGGACTGAATCCAGACTCAGTCGAGGCAACGTAACATCTCTAGCCACCACTACAACAAACTGACCATCTCTTATACACTGGACAGTCACTGGAACAAAAGGCACAAGACCAGGTTAATGTCAAGGATCAGTTTAACTGGGAGCATAACAGCAACTCAACACTCTTACCTGCCTTCCCATAGTAACACTGCTGTCCGTTAAAGCAGCAGTTGATAGCTTCACATTCAGCACCACTGATACCAGGTTGTCCACAATGGATCTGCTCATAATCAACTACAGCACATTTGTCCAAAGGCTCTGCCTTCGTCACTTGCTTCTGAAACTTCTGAGGAAACTGTTGATTAGTCTGTTGCAACAGCTGCTGAAACTTCTGAGGAAACTGCTGATTAGTCTGTTGCAGCGGCTGCTGAAACTTCTGAAGAAACTGCTGATTAGTCTGTTGCAACGGCTGCTGAAACTTCTGAGGAAACTGCTGATTAGTCTGTTGCAACGGCTGCTGAAACCTCTGAAGAAACTGCTGATTAGTCTGTTGTGCTGGCTGCTGAAACCACTGGTCAGTTTGCTGGAGCATCAGAGCTTGAGGGTTCTGGGGCAGATTACTCAACTTTGGAAGAGCATGACAGAAAGCACACAGTGCCAATAAATAACCCAACCACCAACTTCCAGCCATTGTCCAACAGCTAATTACACTATTGAGATGCTGCCCTTTGGTCTTTTTGTACTCTACAGATTTCAGCTAATTAGCTATCGTCCCTCCCTCTTCATTAACACTCATGATTCTCCAGACTTGCATTATTGATAGCTCAGGCAACTGGGTGATTCTCATTGGTTCTTAAGATTAAATTCTTATATTTTCCATTTTGAACGTAAATGCACCAACTTAAACTGAATTCAAAATATTTTACTAACCTGATTGAAAAAAAAAAAAAGTTACTGTAACTTGCGAAACGTAGATGTTCAACGTTGGTGCCCTTGTCCTTACCACTCCCTGCAGACAAGTGTGCTCTTACAGATATGACGAAATACTATTTTAAGCAATAAATGACTTTAAATATATGGAAGCTTATTTCCACCTCAGAATAAAAAAATGAAAATGAAAAAGGTAATTGCAACTTTTTTTCTAGCAATTGTGAGTTTCTATCTCACAGTTTGCTTACATCTCAACGATGCTGACTTTATTCTCCAAATCTACCTCTTTCATTCCTTGGGGGAAATAAGCTTCCATTAAAGTAAGTAAGTGAAGTTTATTGAAACCACTGGAGAATACAGAGTTAAAGAGAAACCCTGACAGCTTTTTATTCTTTAAGATCAGACCTCAGACTTTCTCTTGTAAAACATGACTGCTAAAAAAAAAAAAAGAGCAATCTGAGTTAACATTACTAAATCAGTTGACACTTAAAGAACAAGACCCCAGCTGCAAACACCAATTTTGGAATGTTTATTTTTTTCACAAAACTCAAATACACCAAACTTTTGAACATATTCAGCACTTCAAACTCGTTACTAAATACAATTGAAATATTATGTAGTTTCTTAGCACTATGGTCAAGATGCCTTCCATGATCTGTCTTTGATGGTGCAAGATCAAGCATACATTTAAATATAAAAAAAAGTAACCTAAACTACATATGTCATATACATAAAAAGACAGTATAAGTCATTATAATCAGTAATTATGCCCACTGGATGCAACAAATACCTCGTTTATAATGGGTTTTCATGTTTTTGTCTCGTCGCTCCAGCCGGACAGGGCATCACAGTATGGTAAGGGGCGTCACATTTCCGTCACACGCTTGAGGTATTCGGCCAATCACAACGCACTGGATAGCTG